ATAAATGGGAGATCTTACASAATATATTGTATATGCAAAGGTTGTACAAGAGAGTGCTAAATTCAAGCTGCACATGTGACATATTTTYTTTACTTTTGATACATTTTAAGTCCTTTTCTTTCTACATATAAACAGCTTTTATAATCCCCTGCCCTCACACTCATATATGAGAAACAAAGAAAAAAAAATGGAAAGAAATCTACATATGCATATTGTAATAAGAATATAAAGTAAAGTAAATTGCTATTCCTCTGCATAGTTTTCAAAACATCTTCATAGAGGACAAAATTTGAAAGTAAAGGAATCCAAAAGAAGATAAAACTCTCAGAATTAGTGCACCTCCTATGCAAAAAAAAAATGATTAAAGCATTTATAATTTCCAACAAAGTGAAATCCATCACACAACATCATAAATGTAATAAGCTTTTATTAGTTTCCCTGCTGGCATGTCTGTGGATGATAACCATTCCTGTTTATASTTACACACTTTCTTTCTCTGACTGCCCTAAATATGCCACAATGAAGGTGTTCCCCTCATTTAGGAAAGAATCTTTCCAATTTTTGACACAGATTTCATTAGAAGAATTGAATCCAAATCCTGATAGCCAGCTTTCTCCACTAACTTACAGAAATAAATAAACAGGATCTCTAAAGAATCAATGGCTCCAAGATCAATTCTAARTGCATAATTTTGCAGACAAACATTGAGAAAATCTGAGACTCAATCTAAGAGAAATGAAGAAAAATGCATTGGTATATGACTTTTAGGGCCAACTGGCATAGGCAATTAAACAAATAAGAGACCATTAAAGAGCTGTAACAATTGTGGTTTTGGCAGAAGTTCCTGTTCTCATGGAATATACAAACCAACATTTTAACTAAGTAGTCTGATGGGAAAATTCAACTTCCAAAAAGAATCAAAATCTCCCTCTGCTGGAAAGATGAAGTCTGCAAGTACAAATAATTTCAAATTTCAAGGTTGAAAAGCACCATGAATTTAGCAGTGCCTTAATTACTATAATTGTAGCTGAGCTAGAATTTTGGGTCCATATACATAGAAAAGTTGTCTCCCATTTTTGTCAGCTACTAACTGATGACAAATGTCAAAATATGGTTTAAAAAGAGGAAAAAACAAAGAAGTAGAAAAGATTAATTACTAAAATTAAAGAAMTATTACAATGGAAAGAGAAGTTGCTAAGGAAACAGAAAGGTAATAATGCTCAAATAYAAAAATTGAACTGCCTTTTATAATGTTTATTCATTTAGACATRGCATTCTCTGCCTCATACAGAGGAAGAAACATCTTWCTTGCTACTGTAGCATCCTCTGTCMATCTATCAACTAACCCCAGCTGAMATTCACTGTTTAGTAATAAAAAACWATAATTTATATATATAATGAWTAACTTGCAATTTAAGATGTAGAAAAATTTAAGGCAAATATTCCATTTAAGTGTATGACTAAAGCTTTCCTGTATGAGGATCATATTCAGTACCTATTGGACAACTGAATTGTAAAGCAAGAGAGGTTTTTTTTTATCTTTAGGAAAAATGATATGAGAGGCTATCCTTCATCACACTCAAGTTTTAATTCCATGGTTTAGACATGAAGTTTGCTTCCTGAAACCATTACTACCTACAATTAAAAAAAGGACCTTAGAATCTAGTAAACGTAGTTAAATTCAGTTGCAAGAGACCTGAAAACAATATTTCTTTTACATAGGTATTTTTGTTGTCATTTCTTTATTTTGTAAGATATCTTTCTTGGAGGAGGCATTGAAGACAGAAGGTAAAGTAAAATAATAATAAAAACAAACAAACAAAAAAAAAAAAACCCAAAAAAACCAAAAACAAACCCAACCTAAAACCTACTACATAGGTCACTGCTGATTTCAGCTCATATTTTGCTGCAACCTGCTTGTCCTGGTGTCCAGCCCCTATAAAAAGCAAGGTGTGAGCTGAGGGCTGCTGTCCAGAATGCTGTGACTCAGCTCTTTAGATATTCACTGGCCAGCAGGACTTTGATGCACAGTGACAATTTCACACTGATTTCAGCAAAGAAGGGATTTTCTTTTTGGCTTTTATACTCTCCGTATTAGTACCTCTGGAAATACAGATGGTAAGAGTCATTCACATTTTTCTCCACAGATGGAAAGAATCAGCTAATATTTGTGAAGCACACAGAAGAAGCTGGTTTTTGAAATAATTCATTGCAGTGATACTTATTACAGTAGTGTGCATTATGCAGCTGAGCAAAGAGCCTGTCCTCAGCAGAATACAAATAAAATGTGGATATGACTTCAGATATCTGCCTGCAGGGGTACTGAGAGCCTCCTGCAAGCAGAGAGTGATGTTTGAGGGAGCAGAATAATAGCTGAGGATGGACCTTCTAATGAGAGGCAGCGTGTTTTTTCTACCTAAACAATCCTCAAATCCCCACACCCTGCAGAATCTTTGCTACTGGGGCAAGATGAGCTGAGGAGTTAGGAATGAAATTAGGGTTTATGCTTCTCCACAGTCATATATAAAAATCATAGAATTATAGACAAGTTTAGGTTGGGAAAGAGTTTGGGCTGGTTTAGCTCTAGGTTTTTGATGTGCTCAGTGACAACCACTCACAAACGACCAGCTTCCAAAAGTAAAAGCACTAGAACATAAATATTCTAACAAAACACCTTAATAGACACATTTTTTTGATGAAAGGCTTCTGACTATATTTTTCACCTTATTAAAGGTACTATTCTGAATAAAAGCAAACATAATTTGATTTAAACAAATAAAAAAATCTTTTTTGGTAACTGAAGGTTACCATCATGGGGTACTTGTAAATTCTTTTACATGTCAGAGGCTTTGCCCTTTGACCAGCATTACACCAACCAGAACTCTGACCAAAGTGAAATGGRTACAAATCCCAGCAATCTGGGGTTCCTGGGTCCCTAAATGTCAATTGGAAGTAAGCAAGAGATTGCAAGGCATATTTTACCCTGGGATGAGTTCCCTGTATTCACTGYTTGAAGAACACATGAGGGTTTCTTGTGAAATTCATAACAAGTAGCTCCTTGGAAATATTTAATCTCCTTCCATGTTTAAGGAAAATGTAAAAAATAAACAGCATATTTTCCTCAAAACGACTCTGTTAAAGGCATGAAGCTAATYATTTTTACAAAACTCAAACTCCACAGAAGATGGAACAGTTTTCAGTGAGTGAGCTGAGTGCATCAGCTTTCATTAATGAAATGYACTCCAGACAACACTTCAAAACCACGACTGGTTGAGCCTGTGAGTGGCTGAGTGCTTTCTATACATTTTTGTTCCAGTAAGACTCCAGAGTATATTCACTAAAATTGAATACAAACCAGGTAAATTAATGACAAACATGCCATACTGCATAAATAGAAATGAAGTTCTGGGAAAATTCTGCAAGAATATTTGATTCTATTCACTAACAGCATTAATCTCCCTGTAGAACCTCTGTGCAACAYCACAAATGACTGACTATGGTTGGCCTTGTTCTTATGCTTATAAAATGAATATAATATTAAATATATGTAAAATTTGGTTTAAAATATAAATTTCCTCCTCCAATCTTATGAGTGAGTTCCCAGYGTTAATAAAGCAACAAATGAGACATGATTACCTCCTTTACAAAATGCTCTTCAGCTTTTTCATAACACTAGAATTCTCTGGTGTTTCAGATGTGATAAATTTTATGTCTTTATGAACTTTTCCCACACATAAACAAGGATGGGTGTCTTCCTGGCAAACAATAGTACAGAAGTCTCTGTTTTATCACTTTCCTGCAGTGATATTTTCTAGGAAATGGGATACATGGATAAGAAATATTTCCCCCATTAAGAATATGGCAAGGAGAGAGATCTAACTTTTGAGGAGGGGAAAAAAGTGAAGTAAACCAAGAAGAGAAAAAGGGGAGTATAGAAAAAAATCCAAGCAGAAATACGGGAAACAAGATGAGGAAAGAGAGAAGAATAAGAAAACAGAAAGAATTACTTTTAAAAAATAAGAATTAAGAGAAGCCTATGAGAATGGTTTTGTGTGAAACAAAAACAATTTTCATATTTCCTTCTCCCATTGTGTGGCCAAAATTTCAGTTTTCTGTTAAGGGTATCATGCCTAACTGAAGTGCTGGTCATACATAAGTAAGATGATCTAACCCTAAGATTGAAAAATACATATTWCTTTAAAAAGTACCATTCAGGTGTGAGCGCCCAGCAGATCTTACATGTAGAATAGTTGGCCTAAATATCTGTACATTTGTTCCAAATGAACTATTTTATTTTAGTTAGTTATGTTATTTCATTCACTCTAACAAGAAGGAGCTCTGCCTCTCAATGCATTTCAAACTCTGCTCTCTTTTAAGTAGAAAAATTTCATTATAGAAACAGATGATGTGTCTTTCCTYTTTCCAAGGGTCACAACTTGGCCTTTAGTATATGATAATCCTTCAAAGTTACTTATGTCTTTTCCCCTSAGGATGTGTTTAAAAATTTACTGTAGTGCTTTCACCTTACTCTGTATCTTCCAGATGACATTTAAGTAAATATGACAAAAGACAGTAAACAATAATATTTCAATTAACTATCTGTTCTATCAGCAATAACATCTCATCCTGACATACTGTCTCCAAGTTTCTTTAGAGAAGATGAAAAAATTTGTTTTCCAAATATCTGGGTTTGTTAAATCAAAGCAATAATTTACGGTGAAAAGTGAATTGTTCACAATGTTTCCCGAGCTCTGTGGAAAAGAACATATTATCTTTGAAATGTCTACAAAACAGGTGGCTTGCCCTTTATATTTTTAAACCATCTGCAATATCAGCTTGGGCCTCTGTCTAATGCATTTATGAATGATAACAACAGAACAATTTCTTGGGTTTTCTCACCTTTCATGCCTTTGGTGCTATCCTACAGGGAACAAAGCACAGAGAAATAGAAAAATTTACTTAAATGCAATATAAAGGAAAAAGTAATGTGAAATATATACCTGTAGCACCTTCCACCTTGTGTTCAGRTCTTCCACACAGCTGAGGTTGTACTGGGAGAGTTGAATATCAGCAGGAGCRAAGCGGTGAGCGAGCTCATTGACGTGATGCACCTTTTCTTTAAGGGGAACAAGCTCTGCTCGATAAACCTGTGTGAAATAAAATAAATATAGAAATAAGTATAAAAATCAAAATCAAAATAAATATAAATAAATATAAATATAAATAAATATAAATATAAATAAATATAAATATAAATATAGACAGTATATAAAATTATATAAATATATAAAATATAAGTATAATTAATACAAATATAAATAATATAAATATAAATATAAATATAAATATAAATATAAATATAAATATAAATATAAATATAAATATAAATATAAATATAAATATAAATATAATACATATAAGCAATAACTTCAAAAACTATTGGCTCCATTACCAGCTGATTGGTAAAATGAAGATATTACATGCCAATCTGAAAGGAAAGAGCATATGGTCATGATTCAGTTATCAGTCTGCTTATTTAACTTCATGTGGACTTTCAAGTGTAAGGCCCAGCATCTCAGAAGGTGCTATGAATTTGGAACCTTCATACCAAATAAATAATACAAAGGTTAATAATGGGAAGCCAGAAAAAAAAAAAAAAAAAAAAAAAAAAAAAAAAAAAAAAAAAAAAAAAAAAAAAAGAGAGAGAGAGAGAGAGAGAGAGAGAGAGAGAGAGAGAGAGAGAGAAAGATAAAAAAAATTGCTATGCATCCTAAACCAGCTTACATGACTCATATTTAAAGGAAAAATAAAAAAAAATGTGTCTTTTAAGATAATTAAAACTATGCATACAGGAAGTCTAGCTAATAATTTCAGTAATGTATGTGAAAATCAGAAATTGCTAGTTACAAATCTCTCATTTTTGAAATCAACAACCTGATGAGGATGTTTCCATGATGCATCTGGATACATTCAGATAAATTCATGGCACCATGACTTTATCAGAGAGAGGAATCTCTATGCAGATCTTCCACTGCTCCATATCTATCTTTTCTAAGGAGACATTTATGAATCTTTAATGTGATAAAATATGTCAAAATGTAACAWTGAGTCATTTCTAAGGGACCAGGTCTGTCATTCTCAGGAGCATGTTTTATTGCCATATGATGTCTGCACACAAAGGCARAATAATTTAGTTGCTGTATTATTTTTTTCTCTAGCTCCTTTCTCTCAGCCTTTTTAATACAAACCACATGTGGTCTGCATCTCATTTTAGAACATCAAATAACCCGAAATTATTGCTAGTAATCTTTGCATCAACACGTGGTGCGAAATAAGGCTAAAAAAAAAACCCATTCAGGATCTCAGTGAACCTTAAGAGCAAATAATATGAAGATGTTCATAGGCATTAGAATGCTATGAAGAGAACTAAAGGCAAACATCATTGAAAAATTGTTTCTCAATTGTCTTTTAAAACCAGRCTTGGCTYCCATCAATTAYGTTAAATTACCCTGCAACATAAGGWGTTAGACTGCCTGAAGTGGCACTCGAACAGTGAATGACTCTAATGATCAATCTGTAAAATAAACCATCAGAAGGGACCTGTGTTTTGTAAAGGAAGCACAGAGAAATACACAAATGCCACAATGTGAGAGAAGATGCATATATCGAGTTCACACAACAGCTGAMTTCCCCATTTCACCAATTTTGTACCACTGGAGTAGAACTGACACTRCTGGAGGGAACTGATTTACAGCTTAGTGCTGAGAAAGGTCTGAAATACAAAGRAAAGGAAGAGAGCTCACGTTTGGTTTTACCCCAGAGAGTTATAAAYGTGCTTACCCTGAACTTTTTAGCTAGCAATTGAGTTCAGAGCACAAACAACAGGCTTTGAAAGTAGACATTTGTTGTTGTAAAATAAAGGCCTCAAAGGCTGAAGAAATATATACACCACTGTTTGAACACTTCATTTAAAAATAGTTGTTTTACTGCTTTTTTTTTTTTTTTTTTTTTTTTTTTTTTTTTTTTTTTTTTTTTTTTTTTTTTTTTTTTTTGTGATCTGCTATTTCCATGGCTCAAAGTCCCTGGCCATGACTCTGTGGCTTGCACTTGGGATGATCAACTCAGTTCCTCCAGTGGTGCTTTGTTCCCAAAATGAGAGAACACCTCTCATCTGCTGTCACCAATGATCACTTTGCATAAAAATATAAATATGCATGTGCAYATATTTGCATATAATATAAAATATGTAATAAAGGTAATTTATATTACAAATTAAATACACAAAAGAAATAAATGTATAAAATAAAACCCATGGATAGAATAAATGCAGATCAAGAGTTGCAAAGATCAGTTCCCACATTACAACGCACTTTAGTATAGTTTCTGTATGAAAACAAGTTAATTTTCTATTATGTGTATGGGATTAGGATAAGGTTTCTGACTGAAAAACTTCACTGCTTAAGCACAGCACATGGGCCTTATCAGGCACTTGTTTTTAAACCTATATTAAAGTACCTGGCTGATTTCAGACCAATTATTTGCATCTGCATTATGGACWTTAAAGTACGGGTCTCACTTGAATATTGACACAACATAGGTAAACTATACAGCCACTGTACCTAAATTAAGGTGAATAGAAAATCCTTCATAATTAGTCAGAATGTTTCTTGCCTGTAAATTATTTTACAGACCAGAAAGGCTACAGCACAGAAGTAACCCAAATGAAATCACAGAAAYAGATTTGGAAGTAAAGAAAAAACCTCATCTTCTGCCTTCTCTTCAGTCGATGTCTTAATTAATTTTTTTGTGCTGCAAGGATAATGATTTTTGCAGTGTGATACTATGGCTTTTGCCTCTAAATTCAATATTCTGTATTCTATTACCACTAAGCCTGATTTTTTTGCAAGTGTTTTTATTGGACATATCCAAACATGATAAACAGCAAGAACAAAAAAAAGGAATGCTACTCAATGAGCAGCTATCTAATTAATGTCAGTAAGCTTACAATTAAAAAAACTGTAGACAGAAAAGAGAAAAATAACTACAGAAAGATTTGGAATGTGACTTCATATTACTAAGAAATCAGAAACTGTATGCCTTCTTTAAGCAATAGTTTATCACRGACAACCAGTCCATCAGTCAGCATCCATAATTCTAGAGCTAAGCGACTGTAGAATCAGAACTTTAGATTTTTTACTGGAAATGTGTTACAGAAATATTTATATTTTTAATAATAATTTTGTATAGTACAAGACTTTTTATTTTCTGGTTTTTTTTTTTCCTTCTGCATTAAGACCCCAATACATATAAGAGGTTTATATTAAAAAAAAAAATATATTGCTGGTAATTAAAAACAAACACACATGGTGAGTAGTAGTGTATTAGTACCACAAGGAGATGTACCCATTAAATTGCTCAGAGTGCAAATGAGTTCACAGTATGAACAGCAATAGGACAACAAGCCCCAAATTAACTTCATTATAACTGGCCTTATGCAAGAAAAAATTTYGGTGGTTGGTGATACTGTAGGTGGTAGATTGGATTTTAAATGATCCGTACAGTCTTGTTAGAAAATATTTCAAAATGCCTTGTAAAATGAGCAAGGATTCCAGAAGACACAAACCACAGAGAAAMCATAACCAGACAAATATTAAAAGTCTGGAGGACACACAGTGGCCATAATCAGTCAGATGAAAAGCTCATCTTGCCCAGTCCCTTGTCTGATAKCAGCCAATAAAATTGGTTAAAGAAGACAGTAAGGGAAGGCATCAGCTTCCCTGTCCCTTGTTCTCTTCCAGCTCAGCAATTCGAGTCTCAGAGATTACAGAGCAGCAAGCTGGATTTTTAGGTCAAACAGATCTTGATGGAATCTTTTCCAAGAAAWGACATATTTGATTTTTGGACTAACATAGGCTTTTTATGGTTCAAAATATCCTATRGTAAGCTCAACATTTTGGTTAGAGTTTCTGGGCTTTTTAAACCCGTTTCTAGACACCCACTTGTGACCTTCCCTGATTGTTAGTTCCTAAGAGATCAACACTACTAGAGAACTTTGTGCAGCAGCAGGATACACAAACCCTACATCATATTTTTTCCTTCTTTATGTTTAAGATGCAAAGACTGAGAAATATCTGATTAAACATTGGTATCTATAAAGTATTTACATATGAACAAGTTGCCTTAATATTTACACGGTCCCTTTTCCATAGCTAATCAAAACCAGGAGTTGAGCATAATGTAAGGTTTTACTATAGGATGGCACGAATCACATTCTGAATTGCAGCAACAGAAATGAGCAGATTTTTATTGGTTGTACAGGAGTCTGGGCAAMTAACTCACGTGCAGACAGCTACCTGACATGATAAACAAGACACACCCCACCCMAACACCATTTATTCTGTCCTTGCAYACCTTTCACCTASTCTGTTATCACATTTTTCACGTTGGGGATGCCAAACACTTTCTACGATCTACATGATATACATATGACAGGGACTTACACTGTGGCACCATGATATTTCTGCTTTTTCAGTAATTTTCAGTAATTCCTAGCATTTTATGAACAGTTCTGAGTGTTGATGTGATGTTTTCAGAGACTTCTGTTATGATTCCAAGACCTCTTTCATGAGTGTGAAAGGAATGTTTCAAAGGCCTAAAGGGCTTGCTGGGATAGCTTTTTCTACATTTTGCTTGAGATTTATCAGCATTTGATTTCATCTGCCAACACTTTGCTGGCAATCAGCACTGTGAAGGTTTTCCCCAGCTCTTTGCAATCTGTCCTCACCTTAAATACTTTGAATAGGTTTGTGTCATCAAGATGTGCCACTGCATTCATGATTTTTCCTTTCCAGCTCGTTTATGTAAATGCTGGACAGAGTAGATCTTGYGGAGCTCAATGTCTTCCTCTTTGGGAAAACTGACCTGTGCTTTTTGCTTTCTGTCTTTTACAGGAAATTACAAAATAAGTGGTTATTTAWCCACTTGAAGACCTTCTCTGTTGTCTCACTGGAGCTTGGTTTCTTTTCTGGAAGACTTCCTTAAAATCCTTGAGGAATGGCAAATGGCCTGTATCTCCTGAAACAGCATGCTCATGTTTCCTTAAAGGCACACTCGGAGATACAAGGCACACCTACTTTTGCAAAACTGT